CTCGATGCTAGGCCGCTGATTGTTATTAGATTGTTCATTTGATGAATATTATGGATTATTAAATGATTGTTGAACTAAGAATATGAATTAATGAATAATGTTGTTAAGGATATCTAGAAGAACTCTAAAGATATACCCACTTGTATAATGATGATGATTATTAAGGATATCTAGAAGAACTCTAAGATATACCTCCTTGACCAATTCATATTTCGGGGTTAAAACGTACGTACGGGATCCAGACCGGATATCACCCACCCGACAAATCATTGTTCGGTTGGTACGTAATCCACACGACTCATAGGGTGGATTATCGATTCTTGTGTTCTGCATTAAACTATTTATAGTTTAAGGGCCTGGTTAGAAATGTTGCCTTAGACTAGGAATAGCTAAGAGCTTGTTATAAAATGATTTGGCCTTAGATTAAGAATAATTTAAGAGCATGGTTGAGATATTGAATATCGAATGACTTGGAATAAAATATTGAGAATATCATGAATGTTTGAATCATATATTGTGTGCATGATATCAAATGGTTGATTATGAATTGAGATTCAATTTATTTGGATGTTCGACGCTTTAGATATGCTTACTCAGCTTCATCGCTGAACGTGTAGTATGTTTTATTTGCTACACGCAGGTAGACAGAATGAGTGAATGACATGTTCTTGGCAGCGGAAGGGGCGAGACAGTCGTGGTGGATTTATTGAGAAAATAAATGATTATGTTATTATGAACCATGTTTAAAAATCGCTTCCGCATTAAACACTCCGTATTTTCTACAATTATGTTTGGAATTTCATTTATGATGAATAAAGTTATTTGAAATGTTTTAAATTATACGATTACCAAGTTAATACTTTAGTTCGGAAGGGGTTGTAAACCTGGACGGATTAGGGTGTTACAACTTATGTAACCAAAGAAAATTAGATTTATATTCTTTAAAAACTATTTTTCTCACAACAAAAAACTCTAAAAGTTAGAATACAAAAGAACATTGTCTTTAATAAAAAGTTATAGAATATAACAAAATTTCGTTCCACCCCCGTGCATGGCACGAGTTAAAACACTAGTAGCAGTTATAGATGAAAAAAACGAAAGCGGAGGAGAAATAAAAAAGGACTACGGGATAAAATTGACAATAAAAAAAAGAAAATAAGTATTACGCAATTAAAACCGAAGGTTATGTCAAAAAAACCGCAGGTATCTTATTTTTATAAAAATAAAAAATGAGTTTACTCGTGTAACTTCTGTACGTTTAAGTCCTATTTTGAGTCTCTAAAATTAATACTCCTAGTTAATACTCTTAGTAAAAACTAATCAAAATTTATTCTCGGGCGACACACATTTTGCTAAAATAATTTACAAGTTCCTCTATTATCAACAAAAACATCAAAAACTCTTATATTTTGTTTTAAAGATTGAAATCAGACATTTCGTTTATTATTCCGTTCATGACCATTAAAAATGAGATATTTTCTTATTTTGTCATTAATGATGCTATGTTAATAAAGCTTAGAGCCTTCACTTTTCAGTTTCTCTTTTCTTCTTTATTTCTCTTTTTTCTTGATATTCTTTCCTTTTTTTCATAAAATTCTTTTAAGTTCTTATACAACTATTCTTCAAAAATTCAAAAATGTTAGTCTGATGTGAAAAAAATAATGCAATTAAAATGACTATAGTTGTGACAAAAAGATACATATATACTCAATCTCTCTAAAATTATCTCCCGTTCACTATTTATGGAGTCAAATTTTTTTTTATTTTGTTGGCCTATTTTCGTTGCCTATTTAATAAAATAATGCACTGTTAGTCACTTCTAGTTTTATATATTTTTTGATGTAGTCTTTAACTATGTAATTTTTAGTTTTTAATTCCACCATATTTTTCATGTAAAATGATTTAAAAATAATTTCAATCAAATATTGTAACATGCAATGATGGGATAATTTATAGACGAAAGAGTATTTTTTAGCGGTTAAAATGTCTACTTCTAATCTTTACCACAAAATACAAAGTAAAGACACTTGATGACCTATCAAAATTAGAGAATTTTATGAATTATTTCAATAAAACTTGGGTTACTTATAAATAATTATTCTGAAACAATTGTCACAGGCCAGTGGCCAGCCCTTTGGAAGGGGATATAGATGTGTATTGTCCTAAAAATCGGTGACGTGTAGAAAGGTTGTCTGGGGAGGGATGATAATTGATAAGCACGAATCCGTCTGGGGAGGGATGATAATTGATAAGCACGAATCCGTCGAGGGATGCAGACCGGGACGACGTCGTATGCGCTATCCTGAAGCAGTATAAACTGAGCTATACCTTCCGCCATGGTTTGAATTGCAGAAGCTCCCTCCCCCCGCCATTGAAGAAGTCCGAGCTTTCTAAAACCTAAATTGTAACGCCGCATTTCTTCTCCCGCTCTCCTCTTTCTCCATTTATACATAGACATATCTGTATATCTATATCCATCCATCCATCCCAATTCACGCAATAGAAAGATATGGCTTCATTCGCAGTGCCCCATTCTCCGTCGTCGTTTCTGGATTCTCTGTCGCCGGATTTCCATTGTCGGAGTCGCCGATCGTTCGTCCCCATCAAGCGGAGCTTCCGTTTTCCTCTAAACGGCGTCGTAAGAGTTATTTTCGTCTTTTACCTGTGGTTGATTTTGCGGGGGCGGGAGTTTGTTTGTCAGTTACATTTCCATCCTATTAATCTGAATTGTACTATTGAGGAAGTAATTGTTCTGTAGAAAACTTTACCACATTCTGTAGGGCCGTTTCTGTTATGTATGAAATTGGAAGTCAATAACACTATGTTGGGCAGAATTGGCAAATTAAACCATGTAGTTCTAAATTTAGGTTTTTAATTCCGCAAAGTTTATACCCTAACAATTTATGTTGCTGATTCTCAGGTAACAATATATTTTTTTGGGGGGGTTAAAGAGTAAGTTTATTCTTAATTACCCCTAGGTAGCTTTCACTGTTTGACCAATTTGTGTGGAATTATTAATTAGGTGTGAGGCATGGGTTTAATTGATGGAGAAGGACATGTGCAGAGTAATTTGGAATGTCTCAAAAGGAAAACATGCAAAGTAAAAAGGAAGAGGGTGTAACTCTTATGAAATTACATGCCCCATTTTTCTTTTTAAATATTGTGATTGTCTCATAAGTTTTATGGTAAAGAAGCTGGATTGCCTCTCTTACTCTGTGTATTTTAATTTTAGGTTTTTTTTAATGGATTGAGACATTTTCAATAATGATTCACAATTGGGATATTTATGTATTTTTTTTATTTCAGTTTGATAAATTTGTGGAGTTGATTGATGCTCATATTTTTTCTTCAAATTCCACTAGAAATGTGAGCTCACTGAACCAATAAATGGAAAGCCAATTATGCCAGTCCTAACGAACGGAGAGCTTTCAAAGTTTCTGCAGTCAAGAAGCCTCACAAGTGCTGCCAAAAGAAATGAGAATAGCCCAAAAATATTTTCTGGCCTTTCTAATCCCGCCCTTTCTCAGGTGTGTCTAGCTACTGATCCTGCAAAAACAGTGCATTTCTGAACAGCATATGTTAAATTATGTTAGGTTATGTGTTATGAGTTACTCCGAATTTGAACTTGCTAGATTATGACTCTTGAAATCTTTGTTCGTAGAGTCATATATTGTTTCAAAGGATAGCCTAATTTATTAATATGTTTGAATTTGCAGCTATTGTCTATACACTGGATGTCCATTGCTAATGGAGCTCAAAGAGTCAATTTTTTATTATGTTTTACTTTCGGGTGAATAATGTTCTAAATCAAAATATCACATTAAGCTTCCCTTGCTTTTTACTTTTTACATGAAGCTTTGGGTAGTAAATGCATCAAGGATCTAATAGAAATGGCCTCCCTGTATTCTATAGGGTAAGGTTGCATACATCACGATCCCAGACACCATTGGAGTTTGGATTATATTGGATCTGTTTATGTGGTCTCTACACTGGGTCATAAGTACTTAGTGCCCTCTCTGAGAATTGTGCAAAATAATAATTCCCTTGTCCTCCTTAACCTTTATATAGAAGGCAATGAAGCCAAGCATTTTCTAATAACAAATCTGTCAGCAAAAGGGATGCTAAATGAAGATTAGTACCGTTTCATTTTAATTATTTATAATCTATTCTTACTGCGACTGGTTAAGGAGTTGAGATTATTTTTTGTCAATTTCCACACATGTGTTTATTACGAGTATTAATTAGCAGGAAGAAGAAATTGTTAGTGTCAGAATTTCCTACAACAAACAAAAATCGAGGCTAAAAGACATTGATGAATTCAATCTCTTTCTTTTAATTCAGTGTTGACTAGTGTTTGTTTTTAATCATTTTTTTATCCTTTTTTTTAAATTTGTAGGTCATGTATTTTTTTTCCTGGCAAATGTAATATATATTGATGAACCCAAAAAGAATATAGTCAATAATATACTTGCATATTGAGTCAATATACAAGTGTAGGTGGGCATGCCCCATCACAGTAAACATCTCTGGGATATGTTATTGTGTGATTTTCCCAACCTATATCCTATTACTGTTGTTATTGGTACTATATTTCATTCCCATGAATGCCTGGCGCCCCCATACAGATTATTAACTAAATTAGCAATTTAGCACTTAGATACTTTTCCTTCTTTTTTCAACTTATAAAAGATTATCGGATGCATTAGGAAATTGCATGGTATATGGGCCTCGACCTTGGAAAAATCCACATCAAGAAGTTTGCAGATGGTGAAATTTATGTACAGCTGCAAGAGAGTGTTAGAGGCAGCGATGTCTACTTGGTGCAGTCCACATGTCCTCCAGCGAATGAAAATCTTATGGAACTATTGATAATGATAGATGCATGCCGAAGGGCTTCTGCCAAGAAGATCACCGCTGTGATCCCATATTTTGGATATGCTAGAGCTGATAGAAAGGTAAACTTAATTTATTTATCACCTGAAATTCATGTTGTTTTCCTTTTTTTTGTGAAGAATAGTGGACGCTCATTTCTATGGTCAAACTACTACGTATTTTTAAAGGCGTCTTCTTAATATTTATGTTTTTGGAAATTTGTCTGATTCTCTTTTATTTTCTCCCTAATTCATGGGATGGCATATTACATGTGGTTCTTGAACTTCATAATAGGCTCTGATATGCCAATGCACTTTTGTTTTAGACACAAGGCCGTGAATCTATTGCTGCAAAATTAGTTGCAAACATTATAACAGAGGCAGGCGCTGATCGTGTTCTTGCTTGTGACCTTCACTCTGGGCAATCCATTGGTTACTTTGACATTCCGGTGGATCATATATACTGTCAGGTAACTGTCACTAGATTTAACAATCTATTCATGCAGAGTTATCTTCAATTGCAAATTAACTTTATTCTTGCATGCACAAGCCGGTTGTTCTTGATTATCTTGCCAGCAAAAAGATTTGTTCTGATGATCTGGTAGTGGTCTCTCCTGATGTTGGAGGAGTTGCTAGAGCACGTGCTTTTGCAAAGAAGTTATCTGATGCACCTTTAGCCATTGTGGACAAAAGGCGGCAAGGGCACAATGTTGCTGAGGTAGTTTAACATCTAACACCTCCTCTTGTTAATTCTTATGCCTTGGTATTATAAAATTTTACACTGCAATCAAATGAAATATGTTTTTGCTCATTCAAAAGCTATTCTCTTAGCGCTTCGATATGAGTTTAAGGACTCAAAAGAGCAAACAGACATCTCCTAGCATGTTAGTATGGAGCTCCAATGAAGTTTAATTTTTGGTCTGAAAAGTGGCAACGAAACTTGTAGGCTAGAGCCACTAACAGGCTCTATTTATGCATTCAGATTCAGGGGCAGGCATGCCTATAGCTTGTTGTGTGCTTGTGGGAGTTGTGGCTAATGATATCAATCTCTCTCAGGTTATGAATCTTATTGGTGATGTGAAAGGAAAAGTTGCTGTAATGGTTGATGATATGATCGACACAGCAGGTGAGTTATTCTTGCATTAGAAACACACATTTTCATTCATAAAGAGACCCCAAGATTATAAGAGCCATATAAAATCGAAGTAAATGCTTTATTATCTGATTTATCTTTAAACATTGCTGCTTTTAAACTTCATGCATTTTCCCAACCCAAAAAAAATTCAATCCTGTTATGAAGAAGGAGCCTAAAGTTGGAAAAGCTTTAGGAATATATGATCTATGTATAAGGCTTAGATTTTATGAGTTTTTTCCTTCTTTTTTTCCCTATGCTAAGTTCAGAGAAAATGAGCCTTTTACATCTTTCTTGTTAACCCTACTTTCGAGTAAGGGCATAGTTTGTAAGGCGGCAAGGCGAGGCGAGGCGCCAATGTACCTTCATATCGCCTAGGCGACTAGGCGCACGACTAGGCGACATACATACCTACATATATACATATACATATACATATACATACATACATACATATACATACATACACACACACACACACACACACACACACACACACACACACACACACGATGGGGCTATAACTAAGGTAAGGACTTCCGGGGGCGACTCAGATTCTTTCGGTAGGGATGGGGTTGCACCAGGGGTCTGCCCTTAGCCCTTTTTTGTTCGCCTTGGTGATGGACGTCCTAACTCAAGGTGTTCAAGAAGGGGTCCCATGGTGCATGCTTTTCGCGGATGATATTGTGCTTATCGACGACACACGTGAGGGACTAAACGATAAATTGGAATTATGGCGCCTTGCCCTTGAGACTAAAGGATTCAGGATAAGTAGGAACAAGACTGAATACGTGGAATGTCATTTCAGCGGTCGGGTTACAGAATCAGAGGTGGAAGTCAAGATTGACTCTCACCTAGTACCTAAGGTAGACAGGTTTCGATATCTTGGCTCGGTAATCCAGGCTGATGGGGAGTTAGATGCGGATGTTGGACATTGTGTTGGAGTGGCTTGGGCCAAATGGCGGTTAGCTTCAGGGGTGTTGTGTGATCCGAAGATTTCGCCTAGAATGAAAGGCAAGTTCTATTGATCCGTAGTCAGGCCTGCTATGTTATATGGGGCAGAGTGTTGGGCGGTTAAGAAGACTCATGTGCGTCGTCTGAATGCGGCGGAGATGCGGATGTTACGATGGATGTGTGGGAAGACAAGGTTGGATAGGATTTCGAACGAAGTTGTCCGACGTCAGGTAGGCATGACACCGGTGGAAGATAAGTTGCGGGAAGCAAGGTTGAGATGGTTTGGCCATGTGAGACGGCGGGATGCTGACGCTCCTGTACGGAAATGCGAGAGGATTACGGTTATCGGGGGAAGTAGGGGAAGGGGTAGATCTAGGAAGAATTGGAAGGAGGTGATTAGGCAGGATTTAGGACTTCTCGAACTGACTGAGGATATGGCCCTAGATAGGAACCTTTGGAAAACTAGGATTAGAGTAGTTGGATAGGAGCTCGGTGTTGTAGAAGTTGTTTTGTAGTGGGTTGTATTTGTTTGGAATCTTCTGCTATTGCTTGTACTTGGTACTTTATCTGTATTATACTGTGTTCCCTTCCATATTTTTGTGCAGGTGGAGCCGGGGGTCTCTTGGAAACAGCCTCCCTACTTCCGAGTAGGGGCAAGGTCTGCGTACACACACCCTCCCAGACCCCCTGGGTTGTTGTTGTTGTTGTGTGTGTGTGTGTTTATATATATATATATATATATATAATACTCCCTCCGTCCCACTATATTCGTCCACTTTTGACTTTTGAAACTGTTCATCTAAGCAATTTGACTCATCAAATTCTCTCAATGTGTAAGCCTAAATATAGTCATGTGTGATCTTGTTTGATTTGTCTTAACATATAGATTATTAATATATAATTTCTATAATTTTTTAATATACAAATTACAAGATAAAATGGATTAAAGAAGTGTATTGGATGGTGTGTAAAAATGAAAGTGGACAAATACTCTGGGACGGAGGGAGTATGTCTTATACATTTTAAGGAAGCTTGATCGAGACACAGAAAACCGAGAGAGAGAGAAGATAAGTTTAAGTCTATTAGNGAGTAGAGCTGTAGAGGTAAGGTGTACGGTGTACCTATGTTATATGCTCTTCAGACCTTACCTCTGAGTGGCATATAGTGGTTATGTTTTGTTTAATTGTCTTGATTGCAATTTTCTAGGCTATTGAATGCCTGCTCCCTCCAAAACGAGAGTATGTTTGATTACCGTACAACTTATCTATTTTAGTCAACTTAATTATTGTACAAGAGTTTAGAAGTTATGAACAGTCACTTATATTCCTGAAACTAATTTCCCGAATTGCGTAGAGTAGCATACTAAAACCGTTTGCCACATGGCTTTACAGGTATTAATGTAAAACTTAGACTTATAAAACTGGACTCTGTTTTGGACAAAAAAGTAGTTCATAAAACTTGCGTCTTTCTTTGGAATAAAGAGAGTGGCACCTTACCCTGCCCATTCTTGGTAGTTTTCCCTAGGCAGCTTTGGTTTTCCATTCCCCTACATATGTTCTTCTCATGGTCCGTTCTTTAATGATTTGGCCGACTGATCATCATGTATTCATGTCTACTTAGTCTATGTTTTCCGTTGGTAATTTGGTCATCACGTGGGGTGTTAGGGACTATCTCTAAAGGTGCAGCCTTGTTACATGAGGAGGGAGCAAGAGAAGTATATGCATGCTGTACACACGCTGTTCTGAGGTGATGTTTCTCAATTCATTTCTTTTACTATTGATTAAACCAAACTTTGTTGAGATTAAGAACCGGGTTTTTTTTCTTCACAATATGTAAATTAAATTAACGTATTGCCAAATCTGGCACAAACGACCATTGATGCAGCGTTTTAAAATGGTGATGATGATAAAACCAACCTTTTTTGAGATTTAGAACCAGGTTTTTTTCTTCACAATATGTACATTAAATGTTCAGTCGAGCATTTCTGTCGTGGGATCTGATCTTATGCATGACATAAATTGAACAACAGCCCACCCGCAATTGCTAGGCTGTCGAGTGGCCTGTTTCAGGAGGTCATCGTCACCAACACGATTCCACTCACGGAGAAGAACTATTTCCTACAGCTGACCGTTCTCTCCGTAGCAAACCTCTTGGGAGAAACCATATGGCGTGTGCATGACGAATGCTCCGTGAGTAGCATTTTTCTGTGAAGAAGAATCAAATTACTCAGGTCATCACTTCTTATCTTTCCATCCCAACCTACTAGAGAAAATATGTCTTGTGATGCTTTGCCAGCTTTGGTCACAGTCTAATTAAGCAAATGGGAGATGTGAAATGAAGGTAAAGTTCAGTTTAGTTGTGGAATAAAGTTGTGGGGGGTAGATCAATCTCCATTTCATTTGAGTTTGACATTGTTGTAACTTTATTATGGAGTAGTACAATTGTTATTCATTACACAGGCGGAGATGATGTATGTATGGGATAGGAATTGCTCTTTTAGATGACTACAATGCATTTTTTTTTAAAGTTTTACAACCATGTGTGAAATAAGTGCGCATATACACTTTTTTGCTTGTTTAGCAACAGAATAAAAAACAAAGTAACAAAATTAACTTTGTCAAGCATAGTATTTGCATAATGTTAATGTTCAAAGTGTGTAAAATGAATACAGTAAAGGTTCGTTTGGTACACGGAATTCATGAAATTGATTTCGAAATTGAAATTCTACGGAATTGATTTGGATGAAATTAAAATCTCCAATTTTAATTTATTTTTGGCACTACCAACTCCAAATCTACATATTTTTGTGCTACCAAATAGCAGACTCGGAATTGTTATATTTATTTCCAATTCAATAGTTTGAATTCTGTATATTAAACAGAGTCTAAATATGTGGAATGAGTACTTTATAACTTAGAAATGTAAAAATGATTAATATAATAACCTTATACGGAGTATATTCAAATTTATAATATACGATTTCATAGATGGATAAAAATGAATTCTTTTTATTTGGAATTAGTTTATTATACATATTTATTAGGATGATTATTTAATTGAGTAATTTTTTTCTATTTAATAAAATAGTGGTATAAATATATTTTTTTTTTGAATTTTTTGTATTTCCATCACTTCCCAACTCTTTCAAGTTTCTGTAACTCATTTCATTTTTTTCAACTTCTACAAGTTTTATTCAACCTTTTGAAGTCTCTTATGTTTTTTTTTTCAACTCCTTCCTATTGCTTTCAATTTCTTTTTTCCCACTTTTTCATTTCTTCTAATATCTAACTATGTAATTTCAACTTATAAAAACATGTCCACAGTGGAATTAGTTTTTTAACACTCTAATTTTGAATAGTAGAAAGTTCACTTCTCTAGATTAATAAAAAAGTTTACTGATACCCTTTTTTAATTTTCATTAGAAACAAAAACATTAATTCACTGTGCATCATTAAATTGAAAAAATATAGTAACACCTGAAAAAAGAGTTTTGTTTTGAACATTGCCCATGATTTCACGGGTCGTACATGAGACTACATGAGTGATTTTTGGCTGGTTCATTAATTGGGATGCAATTGCAATTAAGGAATTAAAGTATTTGACAGCCCCACGTTTGACTCATTTAAGATACGTTGTTTTGCTTAATTAAATTTGTGTTCAAGATTTCAAAAACCCTTTTTTGACACCCTTGAAACATATGTTAGCCCCCCCACAGTAAACGCAATAATTTAATACAAAACGGATGACAGCCAAGCACTAATCTCGTGTCATAATAATCACAGATTAAATCATTAGTTTCAAAATTAAATTGTATAAATTGGCCGGAGAGAGTAAATAATAATTTAGCCAAAAAAAAGGGGTAATGTACATCTTGAAATTTAATTTGGGTTCAAGGTTTCAAAAAAGAAAAGTTTTTGGACTCTATTTGCACAAAACAAAACAAAGAACAAAGAGTATAATTTCAACCTCATTAAATTCTAGGGTGAAGATATATGTAATCTTACATCTGTAAAAACAAACAAAGAAAAAATATGAATTGTTTCCATTAAACCTTCTTGCATGAAAAATTTAAATTGACATTTACCACTTTGATTTAGTGAATTACCTCATTTCTCTCTTACATTTTGTTTGAGTTGTTACATTTTGTTTGATTGAAATGATTTTTAATTTACTCCCTTCGTCCCTAAATATTTGTCACACTTTCCTTTTTTATCCGTCCCAAAAAATTCACCACACTTCTAATAATGGAAAGTAAATTGGTGTGTTAAGACTATTATACCCCTGCTTTTTGAGAATGATGTGATGTTAACTTTAATTAAATACTTCCCCTTTCTCCCTTATTTTTTGCCTTTGCTTTTTTCTTTTGTACGGGTGGGTGGGGGTATTCTTGGAAAAAAATACTTTTTACCTACTTTCTAAAAGTGTGTGCAAGTCAAAGTGTTGTGATTAAATAGGGACGGAAGGAGTAATTTATATATAGATTAGTATGGGATTAATAAATAAAACTTACTGAGTGTCTATTTAAAAACAACTTCAAAAGGTATATAAAATAAGTTATGAGACTTTTATTTATCAAATTATAAATGAAAAATAGAGAAAGAAATTGATAATACTCCATAGTAAAGTAGGACATTATTATTATGAGACAGAGAGTACTAATTCTATATTTCTATCACACTACGTTTGAATTGGTACCAAATTCACATATTTTTGGAATTGAAATAAAAAATTAGAATTATAATTCAATTCAAGGTCCATATATTTTTGTGATATTAAACAACAAAATTTGAATTTAAGTCTCCAATTTAAATTATAATACAAAGAAATAACTCCCATCTTGAAAAGTTTATTCAAAATTCTATTGTTAAATACTCTCCTAGTCCCTACCATGCAAAAGAAACAATAGCATATATACCGCATGTGCTATAAATATATAGTATACCATCCCACGCTCCATATATGATTGAGACTTCCAAACAAATCAAACACACCCAAAAATGAAGCCCTCTTTTGCTACACAAATCTTGTTCATCATTCTATCCTTCCTCACCCTCTCCATCATCGCCCAACACTCCGCTCCAAATCCTACGGAGACGACGATCGAGGGAGCGTGCGCGCTAACGAGGGCCCCCGAGCGTTGCGCCGCGCTGCTGAGATCCGACCCTCGGAGCGCGAGCGGGGACATCCGAACGTTCGGGTTGATCGTACTCGAGAGAGCTTTGGCCGAGGTGGAAAGAGTGCATGGCTCGAAAGGGAAGAAGCTGTGCCCGAACAACAAGTGGTATCGGAGGCTGGTTCCCGACATCTTAGAGGGTGTCGAGAAGTTGAAGTCGGGGGCTCAGCCGGTGGCTCCTGCGGTGGATAAGATGTCAAACGCCGTTGAAGACATTTTGAGCTGCGGAAGTTTTAATTCTTCTTCGTCTCGTGAGAGTAGTAGTGGCACGTCCCTTGTGGGCCTTCTTCGAATTGCTATGGATATTCTATTAGTTCTTCCTTAATTGATATAATAGGCTTTAATTTGATTTCATGGTAAAAAAAAAAGGACTTTGAATTAGTGCAACAATTTGTGTTACATGATTTCATTCTTTACATTACTTTTCTCTTACTCCATCCGTCCAAATTCAATATTTTTATTTGATTTTTCATGATCTCCAATATAATATTTTAACGATTAATAAAGATATTTATACATATATGTACTCGTATTTTATACTTTGTAAAATTTTAATATTTCAAAACTACGTTTCAAAATAAAATTATTGATTTCTCATTTGTATCAAAATAAAATGTGTTTTTTCCCATATCAAAATCGAAGTTTATAAAATTTGAACAAAGAAAGTCAAATCAAGAAATTAAATGCACACGCATGCAGAGAATATTTTAAGAACTTAACAATTTCTTCTTCTTTTTTTTTTGGCCAAAACCGGCGCGGAAGCCATCAGCGTTTTTTTGTTCCTTGATGCAGTGTTATTTTTGTAAGTTCACCGCAAGGCAAAATACGTCTTCAAACTCTACATTCCTCCATCTTAAATTTTGAAACTCTTTTCCTTGAGATTTGTTTTATCAAGCTAAGTATACTACATACTTGGTATTTATTTTATGAAGTTTCTCCTTTATCCTTTAATAGCACCATCTGATCTCTCCTCTTTCAAGCCCAACTACCACCTAGTTTTTGGGTCGAGGCCCTCCATATGACAGTCCATATTTTTCATAGTTTTAGAAACCGGACCGGACCGGCCGGTTCGGACCGTGAACCGGCGAACCGGTGGTCCAACCGGTCCGGTCCGGCCCAATGGACCGTAATGAGCTTCGAACCGGTCCGGTCCGGCCCAATGGACCGTAATGAGCTTCGAACCGGTCCGAACCGGCTTGAACCGGTAAGAACCGGCTGGTCGGACCGAACAGACCAGTTTTTTTTTTTTTTTTTTGCAATTTTTCCAAAACTTCACTCCATGGGGGTTCCAACCCAAGACCCCTTTGCTATTTGGTTGAGTTCCTAACCACCCAACTAACAATGCTTGTTGTTTTAGATTTGTATAATTTTTTATAATATTTCATAATTAATAAAAAGATTGCATAAAAATCCCTTTTCAATTTTAAAAATATAATGCGTAATAGTTATATAGCTATGAGTTAAACACAAAATCATTGATATTTTTTTAAATAAAATTTTAATACTATTTTTTAATATGTAAATTTTTTCTTTTAATTTAGTAAAATAACTCAAGTATATTAATACGAGTATAATTTTAGTCAAATATTATAAATTACTTTCTTTATGTATTTATATATGAGAATGTGTGTGTGTGTGTGTATATATAT